AATAATAGTAATTAATAATTAATAATTAAATAATACATAAATCGAGATGGTTACGTAAATTTATTATTATTATTATTATAAATAATTTTTTTAATAATAAATAAAAACAATTAATGAGAAAAAAATTTTTCTTTTTTTTTTTTTATTTATTTTAATTAAAAATTATTTTTTCGTTTATTTATATCGGGGGAAAAAAATAATAATTATTGATTAATAAATAAATAAATAAGTTAATAATACGGTAATTTGTACCTTAATAAAATAATTTATTAAATTATGTAAATTTAAAATTAAATAAAATATTTTCAGAGTCACTTGTACGAACAAAAAAAAAAAGAAAAAAAAATTAAAATTTTAAATTAATAATATTTGCTAGAAAAAAAAAAAATTATTATTATTATTATTATTATTTATAATGCCAAGGACAAATAAAGAAGCTTCTTCTTCTTATTTATTTATTTATTTAAAAATTTTGTGTTAAATTGCCTTTAATAATCGGATAATAATTACATAACTGGATACATTAATATTAAATATATATACAAACACATACATACATACATAATTTAAATAATTTTTTATTTTTATTTAATAAATTTATTTATAACTACTACAACATTCCTTTTGTTAATAATTTTTTTGTTGAAATCATATTTATTTATTATTATTATTATTATTATAAATATTTGACGGTTATGTAAAAATGATAATAATGATAATAGAGTAATAAAATAATAAATTTAAAAAAAAGTCAAGGTTTGTAAAACATTTAATATAAATATTTTGTTATAAATGTGTGAAATTTTTTTTTTTTTACTTTTTAAATCGAATAAGAAAATGGAAAATTAAATAATAATAATAATAATAATATTTTTAATGTAAATTTCGTGTTGTTACAAAATTTGTTTTTATCAATAAGTCGTCACAGAACCCGCAGAAGTTTTTTTTTCTTCGTTGAGTAAATAAAAGAAAAAAAAAAGAAAATTTCGTAATTTTTTTTTTATGGTTTTTTTATTACAATTGATTCGAAAGAATTCGCACACGCACACACACACGCACATGCAAACACGGGCGTAAATTATAGCGCGCGAAATTTACCCCCCCCCTCTTTATTATTTTTTTTATTATTAATTAATTAATTAATTGATTATCGCGGATACGAGTTTTGATTAATGTAAAAAATCGGAATAAATTTTGAAGTTTGTTGTTGTTTCAAGACAAACAACAACAAAGACAAAAAAAACTTGATCCGGGAACATAAAATAATTTTCGAGGAAAATTTTATAACCTGGATAAATTATAATGATAATAATAAAAAGCGGCGACGGGAAAAAAAAACACACACAATTGATGATATTGTTGGCATTGAATTATACAAACGAACGAACAAACAAACAAACAAACAAGTAAAATGTCCATTTAATCCTTTGTTTAACTTTAAAATTTTCTTTCTGAAATTTTAATTTTTCTTAGTATTAAAAATAAAAAAAAACGGATTTTTTATTAACGTAAATAAATAAATAAAAAATTATTTAATAAACGTTTGGATGCTGGATGTAGATAAATGAGAATTTATATAATTTTTTATTAATCGGGTCACTGAGGTCAAAGGTAAAATTTTGTCAAAGACGTAAGAGAGAGAGAGAGAGAGAGAGAGAGAGAATTAATTATGAACGTTGTCACAACACGCTGACAATTTAAATATTTTTTTAGGGGGGGAAAAAAAAAAAATTTGCGTGATAATTAAATAGAATTTTTTATTTATGTAGCAGAACGACGCTTGACATATACCTCCCCATCTAAATGAAACAGTACCAAATTGTTTACATACTCGGATAAAATCTTTAAATGGCCGAGTGAAAATTCCATTGCAAGGAAAAGTTTAAAAAAAAATTAATTAATTATTATTTATAATAATCGAAATAATAATAATAATAATAATAATAATAATAATAATAATAATAATAATAATAATAATAATAATAATAATAATAAAGAGAAAATATAATAAATTAAAAAAAAAAGCGCAAATGAGCAAATATTTATTTTGGGAGCAGTTGTTAAAAACTGGAGGAGTTGCCTTGACCTCATTTTTCTTATTTTTTTTCTTTTTATAATAAATTTAAAATTGCAAATTTTTTATTAACAAATAAGAAAAACATTAAAAGAATTTTTATTTATGTATAATTATTAATTATTTAAATAAGTGAAACATTTATTTTAAAATAACAACCTTAAAAAAAAAAAAAGAAAGATGAATATTTACTTTTAATGCTTGGGTGTTTTAAGAATTAAAAACAAAAAAAAATTAATAAATAACTTTTTGTTTTTTTTTTTTTTTTGTTAAGTTTGCACGCCTTAAACTTATTTATAAACAATCAGGCCAATTTGCAAAGGCCAAGTTTGTCGCGATCATTTTTTTTTTTTTTTTTTTTCTCGAACTTGCCCTAAAACACTTTTCAGTAGACCATCAACTTTCCCTTCCTTTTTTTTTTTAAAGATTTCTTTTCACTTTTTTTTTTTTTTTTTACTAACAAACATCTCGAACAATCCTGATTTTAGGTGTGTGTGTGTGTTTGTTCGTTTGTTGTATGCAGGATTCGCATAAGTTGTTTGTTCTAATGACGTAGTTAATTAAATTACACATTCTTCATTAACCCATTCGGTTCATTATTATTATTTTTTTTCAAATTACATAACTTTTTTTTTTTTAAAGCATAGATATAATGATGATGATGATAATAATAATAATATTTCCCATTATGCGATACAACCGAACTTTTCCGTTAAAAAAAAAGAAAAATGTCGGAAAATTTTCTTATGTTTTGTGACCTAAATTCGTTTTTTAACTCTGAAAATATTTATTATTTAAAACAATGGATCGTAGGAATGATTAATAATAACATATAATTTATTAACAAATATTCACTCGAGTTAAAAAAAAAAATGGAAACAATAATAATAATGATAATTAAGTTTCGAAAAGTAAGAAGAAAAAAATCAAGGGCTTATATTTCACGTTTCATTTATAAAAAACTTATAAGGAAAAAAAAGAAAAGAAGGTTTTCCCCCATGATTTTTCCTTATGCTTTAACAACTCATTTAGCAGAAGACAAAAAAATTTCACTTTTTTTTTTTTTTTTTTTTTTTTTTTGGAATTTTCAATTTCGTTTTTTTGTCTTTATAAAAAAAAAAACGTGCGAGTACTTTTACTATCGGAATAAATAAAAGTGGGTTTTACCTCCCCCCAAGTGAAAATATTTTTTAAATAAAAGAGAAATTTTTATGACGAGAAGCTTTTTAAAAAAACCTGATGACGTCATCGATGTTTATAATGTTGATAACGTCATTAATATAAACTTTATAAAACAATGACAGGAGAAAAGAGATTAATAAAAAAAAAATTGAAACACGTTTTTTAAATTAGAAAAGGTCACGTGGTTGTTTTTTTTTATTATTAACTAATATATATACATGTATTATTTATTGTTTTTACTTTAGTCACATCACCAAAAAAATGATAATAATAATGGAAAAACAATAAAAGGGTTGATTTTAAAAAGGATTGATTTAATGGATTATCATCATTATTTTTATTTATTATCTAATGAAAATGGAATTTTTATAAATAAATAAATAAAAATTTTGACGGGAGGATATAATAAAAGGGTTCGAGTTATTAGATAGGAGGAGGAGGTGGAGGAAGAGGAGGAGGATACCTGGTTATTTTTAATAGTAAATAATTAAAAAATTTTCGCACTATTCGTCCATGATTCAAATCGACCTTTATTATTATTATTATTATTATTATTTAAGTGATAATCCAAGTAATTATTATTATTTTTACTAAGGTCATCGTGAGAACCTTTTAAAATTTTTTCTTCAATTTTATTCTTTTTTTTTTTTTTTTTAAACCTAATGGTGGTAGATAAAAAAAAAAAAAGAAAATTATCCGAGTTGATGACGTAAAATTTAATACGGTTTCAATTGAAGGATTTTCCGATGATGATGACGATGATGACGGTGACGTTTTCAAAAAATTTTAATTAATAAAATAGAAAGTAATATTATTTTGTTTTAATTCCGAGAAAATTTAAATATATTAGTTATTATTAGATTTTTAATAAACTGGAAAATTTTTTTGGAAAGATCACACACAGCGTCTGGATAATTTTTTTTTGTAGGCGTGACCCGGTAAATCGTAACCCTCACCTTAAGTACAAAGTTCTTTAAAAAAAAAAAAAAAAGTTATAAGTCGTCTCAGATTGAAAGTTGGCGGCCTTGCAAAGAAAAGCAAAAATGAAATTTCCTTTCGGAATTATTTTTTTAATAATAATAATAATAATAAGTAATAGTTTTAGTCTGTCAATTCTCGTTCTTTCCATCTATCAAACGAAAAACGAAGAATTTTCTTCATTCAATCTATGTCAAAAATTATATAATGTGACCAAATATAATGTTTGTAAAAAAAAAAAACCTTGATTGTAATTTGTAATTAAAAAAACATCATTTTCTCTCTCTCTCTCTCCCTCTCAAGGTACGAAAAAACCTTTTAACTAACATTTTCAATAACGTGCACGTAAACGTAATTAAAAGTAATTAAATTGAAATTTTTTTTTTTTGTTAAATTTACCGTATTTAACAAAAAAATTCCGGGTTCGGTCCATCTTCATATACATATAAATTATAATAGAATTATTATTATTATTATTATTATTATTGTAAAAAACCGGTTTTTTTTTTTTAATCACAATTAGAAATTAGTAGCACTGTCTAGGACTTTAAGTGTTTTTTTTTTTACCTAGAAATCAGACACGACATTCAATAACCTTTAATTATACCAGTGATATTTTACTAATGATGTCACGCTTTGGAAAAGGAAAAAGAAAACGACAAATAAATAAATAAAATTTATCGCGACAAGTTATTATAATAATAATCCATAAAAAAATGTTTTTTAAAATAACGCCATTTTTTTTTACAGGAAGAATGCTGTTATTATGACAATGTCGATCACTTCGTTAATAATTGTTCTCTGTCTCTCACACAAATGGGTATCCTGTTCTCATCATTTAAATTTATATCCGGTTGTAGAAATCGATCCTTTACCTTTAACTCCTCAAGTTCACATACCTAAATTATCGGGGAAAGATGTTCAGTCTTATCTTGATCAAGCGAAAGGAGTTATAGAACAAAGAACAGAAATTTTCGAACCAGATATTCGAAATCGGGGCGTGACACTTAGCCCAAACACGCCCGCATGGTTCATGTCAATTTCTAGAACGAGTTTTCCACCGACTAAAAATTTATCTACTGTTGCTTTAATAGCAGAAGAAGTTACAAAATATGCCACACAAACGTAAGCCTAAATAACTTGAATTAGGGGGAGGGAAAGTTTAAGGGTAATTAATTAATAAATTTTTTTGATTAGGTTTAAATTAACAAGAGATCAAGTCTGTTACGGTTTACTCAAATCGATATTAGAGAAACGGATTTGGGTCATAATTGTCCTATACAAGTAGATTATCCGTGTCAGCCGAAAAAATATCGTGCTTATTCTGGATATTGCAATAACGTTCAAAGCCCACGTTGGGGAAATTCAAATACACGTTTTCTAAGATATTTGCCCTCTGATTATGCTGATAACGTGAGCGTACCCAGAGGTGGTGGCATACAAAATAGTTCTTTACCCAGTGCTCGAGACGTATCACTCATTGTACACAAGGACTCCGATTCGCCTCATAATCATTTGATGGCTATAACAGCCGTTTGGGGAGAATTTATTGCCCATGAAATTGCACACGCACCTCAATTCACAGGTACTTAAACAGAAAAAAATTTTTCTTATTTAAGGTTCAAAATGATCACTTTTTTCTAATATTAATTTCAGGACATAAAGGTTCACGTTTAAAATGTTGCGCTGTAAATTTTGAAGATTTTCATCCGGAATGTTTTCCGATAAGGCTTCCAGACGATGATCCGGTACATGGAAAACTAGGTGAAAGATGTCAAAATTATGCAAGATCGGCAACGGCACCGAGAACCGGTTGCACTCTCGGACCCAGAGAACAACTTAATCAAGTCACGTCTTTTATCGACGGATCTGTTATTTATGGAAGTTCAAAAACTGAAGCGGATGCACTTAGAAAATTTTCCGATGGAAAACTCAAAACTCAAAATAACGTGTACGGAAATTCTCTCCTTCCTCCCGCCATTAATTCTGAAGAGTGTAGGCTCGCGGGAGGTCAAAAATGTTTTAAAACAGGCGATGTAAGATCTAACGAACATGTCGGTTTATCAGCAATGCACACAATATGGGTGAGAGAGCATAATAGGTTAGCCAAAAAACTCAAAGCAATTAATCCTCATTGGGGAGACGAAATCCTTTTTCAAGAGTCCAGAAGAATAATTGCTGCTGAAATTCAACATATCACCTACAATGAATTTCTCCCCATGATTTTAGGTCAAGTAAGTATTCGAGAAATAAGAACAAAAAATTTTTTTTTTCATTCATGTGATGCACTACTACAAGAAGAAGCCGGATATCTTTAAAATTTAAAAATTCCACGTGTCCATTTTTAGGATATCATCGACAAGTTCGGACTTACTCTGCAGCCATACGGATTTTTCACCGGCTACGACATTAATATAAATGCAGGAACTGCTAATTCTGTCGCTGCAGCAGCCTTAAATTTTATATCATCATTAATGCCAAAATCTATAGATGTTTACAACAGTAAAAGCAATAAATTAGAACCACAAAAATTAGCAGAAACTTTTTACGCTCCATTTTCACTTTACGAACCCAACGGATTAGACAAAATTGTTCAGGGTCTACTATATCAACGTGCACAAAAGGAAGACAATCACATAAATGAAATAATGACAAATCATATGTTTCAAGAAAGTTCTTCCGGAAGTGGATTAGATTTAGCCGCACAAATTATTCAAATGGGTAGAGATCATGGTATTCCAGGCTATCACAAATGGAGAGAATTTTGTAAATTTCCAAAAATTTTTAAATTTACTGATCTTGATGGAATTATGTTACCGGAAACCATTTCTTCTTTACAACGAATTTACAAGTAAGTTTTCCTTTTTTTTTTTTTTTTTTTTTTTAAATAAAATTTTATTAAAATGAAAATAAATTTTTTTCAGGACTGTTTTTGATATCGATCTTTTTACTGGAGCCATATCAGAATTACCCTTGCCTGGTGCTGTTGTGGGTCCAACTTTAGCATGTATTTTGGGTCGTCAGTTTCATTATCTTCGTCGTGGCGATCGTTATTGGTACGAAAATGATTTGCCGCCATCATCTTTTAATCAAGAACAATTAAATGAAATTCGTAAAGTTTCCCTAGCTAGAATAATTTGTGATAATTCGGATAGTATAAGAGAAATTCAACCGCAAGTTTTTTTAAATGAAGATCCATTTTTGTAAGTAGAAACACATTTTTAACAATAATATTATTGAAGCAACCAGAATATTAAAAAAAAAATTTTTTTTCTTTTTATAATAGGAATGCAATAATGCCGTGTCATCAAGGGGTTATTAACGAAATGAATTTGAACCCCTGGAAAGAAATAAGGAAAACTTTTTACATTCCGGATAAAGTGATTGCGGAAGCCGTACAAAGAGCTAAAAAAGACGTTAGTAAAATTATGGAGCAAGAAAGAGATTTATTCGAACATAAAAAAACGGCGGATCCATTATCTCCAGTTGGGACTGCCTACGGTTTTAACAGACCCAAACGTCAAGCTGCCGAAATTGCAAATACTTCTCTTGTTCTACAACTTGTATCCAAGCGATTCGTTAATAGTTTTCTTCAAGGGTAAGATAAAAAAAATTAAAGGCTTTTAAAAACAAAAAAAAATCATTATAAATCATAAAATTTTATTTGATTTTTACAGACAACTTCAAGACGAAGAAATGGGTTTTAATATTATCGAACCCCACGATTTACAAGAACTTATGGAAGCGTTGCCGAACGTCGATTTAACAGACGTACTAGAAGTGCCAAGAGTTTTTAGCTGCGACGAACAAACTTTACCATGTGATCATACAAATAAATACAGAAGCATAACTGGTTGGTGTAATAACCTAAGACATCCTGGTAGAGGAAAATCATTGAGAGCTTTTGCTCGATTACTTCCACCGAAGTATGACGACGGTGTCAGCAGTCCGAGAACGCTGTCAGTCACTGGGAAACCATTGCCTAGTGCTCGGCTCGTGTCGACTAAAATGCATCCCGATTACAGTCGTCCTCACGTTAAATATTCCCTTATGTTTATGCAGTTTGCTCAATTGTTAGATCACGATTTAACTCACACTCCTGTCAATAAGGCATTCGTCGGAGAAGCAATTCTTGATTGCAGGCCCTGTGACGCAATGATAACGGTTCATCCCGAATGTTTTCCAATTCAAATCCCTAGCGGTGATCCTTATTTTCCAAGAATAAATACTTCTAACGGTCAAGCTTTATGCATTCCTGTCACCAGGTAAGAATTATATTCTGAAATTTACAAAAAAAAATTATTATAATCATTTAAATAAATAAATTTTAAATTTAGATCGATGCCGGGACAGTTAACGCTTGGCTACCGAGAACAATTAAATCAAGTCACAGCTTACATCGATGCTTCTTTTGTTTACGGATCGGATGTATGTGAAAGTAAAATATTAAGATCTTTTTCTGGAGGACGAATGAATACTACAATTGTAAGAAGAAACTCAAAACCACTCATGCCTCAAATTACAACTCATCCTGAATGCAAGAATCCATCAAAAGTATGCTTTAGAGGAGGTTCGTTTAACTTCAACAATGGTTACCGTGAAAAATAACAATAACGAGGAAGTAAATTAAAATTGAAAAATTTTTTTTTTATTAGGAGATGCAAGAGCTAGCGAACAACCAGCTCTGACAGCCATCCACACGATATTTTTAAGAGAACACAACAGATTGTCAGAATTGTTATTGAAACTTAATCCTCATTGGAATGACGAAACCGTTTATCAGCAAGCTAGAAGAATTGTTTCGGCTGCAACTCAGCATATAACATTCGGAGAGTTGCTTCCGAGAATATTCGGTTGGGATGGAATCCACAAATTCGACTTAACCTTAAACTCAGAGGGATATTTTTCTGGTGAGTAACAAAAAAAAAAAAAATGAAAACTTTTTATTAAAAATAAAATTTAATGTTTTGTTTTTAATGTTTCCACAGGGTACGATCCGCACTGTGACGCTACATTGGCCAATGAATTTGCATCTGCCGCATTTAGATTTGGTCACAGTTTACTTAAACCATCATTGATGAGGCTAGATAATAATTACAACGTAAGAGAACCAACGGTTAGGTTGAGGGATACTTTTTTTAATCCCGAAGTTATTTATCAACAAGATATGATTGATGAATTGCTGAGAGGATTGGCTACGGCTCCAATGGAAACTTTAGATCCGTTTATAACAAACGAAGTTACAAATCATCTTTTCGAAGATAAAAGAATGCCATATTCTGGCATGGATTTGGCGGCAATAAACATCCAAAGAGGTAAGTGAACAACTTTTTAATTTTAATTTACTTCCTTTTCACACCATTTCAAACGTTTTTTTTTAATATTTAAAGGGCGTGATCATGGTATCCGAAGTTATAACGATTACCGTCAATATTGTAATATGACAAGAGTGAAAACTTTTGACGAATTAAAAAGAGATATAACGCCTTCCGTGGTAGAATCGCTAAGACGTATTTACTCACACGTTGACGACATTGATCTCTTTCCCGGTGGATTATCGGAAACTCCTCTTAAAGGAGGAGTGGTCGGTCCAACGTTTTCTTGCATAATAGGAGAACAATTTCAAAAATTAAAAAAATGTGATAGATTTTGGTACGAAAACGATGATTCCCTGGTGAGATTTACAGAAGCTCAACTCATGGAAATAAAAAAAGTTACGCTAGCTAAAATCATTTGTGATAATTCTGATAAAATGACCACCATTCAAAGACACGTCATGGATTTACCGGATCCATTTTTGTGAGTGAATGAAATTTAAAAAAAAAAATTAATAAATTTTTCCTGTGGAAAATAACATTTGCTATGAATAAATATTTGCAGGAACCCAATTGTGCCATGCAAAAACTTACCGTCAATGAATCTTGAACCTTGGAAAGAAAGGAAAACTTGTGAAGTTGATAACACAATAATAAATGTAGGTTCAGCCAAAAGAATTTCTCCATGCATCATGTGTACTTGCACGAAAGAAGGGGTAAGTGATTATTTATTATTATTATTATTATTATTAGTGACAGCGGGATCAATTTTGCAACTATTTTTGTTTTTTTTGTTTTTTTTTTTTTGTTTTTCCAGCCCGTATGTCAATCTTTAAAAATAGTCAACTGTTTTCATTTAGCCAATCATTTTACTCAGGAATCCCTTCTTTCCGATCACG